GATAATCAAACAAAAATGCAATGGGAATTGGATTTGGGTCAGCAGAAACCAGAAATTCAAATGGAAACAAATATGTAAAAACAAAGTCAAATGAAAAACATAATTAGTATGATTTAGAATGATACAATTTCTAACATTGCTCAGAGAATTTTGGACTCTGTATTCAAATAATAAACCCAAACTCTTCATATCTTTGCTGGTGAAAAAGAGAACTGTTTTTCAAATAAACACTTGTCAACACTAAAACTATATCTATTGTATTGTATTGTTATATTTATGTTTTACTGTCTCTGTTTTCTTAGCAGCCTCGTTTTTTTATCTCTGTTGTAGTTCTTTTTGTCATAATTTGTCTAGTTTCATCTCCTATCCTTACATTCTTCTTTTTTTAATGCTTCTTTACATCTTAACCAGGGGACCAGGGGGGAAAAATTGCCTTTAGCTAATTTTAACTTTTACAACTCATGAACTGTCAAGTCATGTGTTTTGATAAAATCTACTGTCTCCTTTCAGAACAATAACTTAATACAATCAAGTGTGTTATATCATTGTCAATTAGTTTAATATTTTGGTCCCAAACTATTTTGATGGTCATAAAGTAATAAATGTTGAGCTAGTTCTTGGCCCTGCCATATATTCTATTAGTTAAAAAGATGCTTAATCACGTAATAAAAGAGAATATTAAACTGCCAACATTGCTTTTATATCTCCCAGAAGGAATTGTACTGATGAATTGTGAAAAAAAGCATAAATGAAATTGTTTTGACATAGAAAAATGGTTGCATGATTTTCTTCATCAATCTAGTAGGGAACAAGATGCTCATTATAAAAAATGTTATGAGTTCCATTAGATCCATTATCTTCAAATGACACTTAGCTTTACCACAACAACCTAACAATAGAGGTTTGTCCACCAGAATCCTCAGAGCAAGAGGGAATTAATTGAGAGAGGCAGCGCCGCATCCAAAGGACACTCTAAAATACAAAGTTAAATCTTTCTATATGACCACAACAAGGAATAAGCTCCTAAGAGGAAGACTTAATAAAAAAAAGGCTTTTAAAAAAGGTATTTTGTTGATCTACAGTGAACATATTTGGGTTTGACAGTGACAAAAATAAGTAGAAAAAAGGATTAAATCATTTGAAAATAATTAAGAAAAATTTAGATTAGTAGTTAAGTTAAAGACCTTCTAGCTCCACTAGAGAGCGCCATCATCCAGTAGGCGGAGCTCTCCTTGTGCTCTGTGTTCCAGCATTGTGTCAAAAATAAGATTTGCTGTGAAGAGAACAATAGTCAGACTGAATGTTGAACATCAGCTAGTTTCTCCTGCTGATTTAAACCTTGTTGGACAGATGGAACATTGGCTGTGGATTATTCTAGCTGCTCTTTTCTTTGGTAAGATAGAAAGCTCAACATGTTTCCTCTTCAAACACTTGAACACATTACTGAGCTCTACATGAAGAGCTTTAATGTTCATTCTTTAAAGTTAGTCTTTAAAGCTGCTGATTGTTCTCCTTTAATCAATCATCTTTATTGATTCATCTCTTCCTCTGCATGTTCTGTTCTTCCTCAGAGTGTAAAGGAGACTCAGTGACGCAGACAGAAGGACATGTTGCTGCTGCTGAAGGAGAATCTGTGACTCTGGGATGTATTTTTGAAACCACTGACACATTTCCATATCTTTTCTGGTACCAGCAAAAGGAAGGCAGTTCTCCAACCTACATGCTGAAGCGTTATCCAGGAACTGCAGAGAATGATCCAAAGTTCAGCATAAACAGATTTAATGCTGATCTCAACACAGAGAATCAAAAGAAATCAGTAAATCTGACGATCCAGGATCTCCGTCTGTCTGACTCTGCTGTGTACTACTGTGCTCTGAGGCCCACAGTAACAGGAAACACCAGAACTCTGCACAAGAACCTGCAGAGCAAAGACAATATAGTAATGCACTATAACCACTAGAGGGCCTCATTTACTTAAACTATTTATAACTTTCTAGGATTTAGTCCACATCTTTACCTTTTGTTATGCTTTAATGATGATTATCAACATTGCACTGCTAGAAAGATGGAAATGGCTTCTGATCTCCCTTATAAGTTGGGTAGCCTCAATTAAAATGATGGTCTTACCCAGAATTAACTACCTATTTTCAATGATCCCAAATAAACCATCACCTGAATGGTTTAAATCTCTAGATCCTTCCATCTCTAAATCTCTTTGGAAGGACAACCCCCCTCGTATCAGCTTAAAGACACTACAGAAAACTAAAGACAGAGGGGGACTAGATTTACCTAACTTCCAACACTACTACTTAGCAAATAGATTACAATACATCTCTAAATGGATAAAACATAATGCCTTAGATGAGCCCTGGATAGACACAGAACAAGATATATGCAGTAATATCATAATTTCAGATTTGCCGTTTATTAGCTCTAAGATCAAACGGCACCCATGTCTTAAAAATATTAACATCAGCTCTTCCCTGACAGCATGGTGGGAATTTCTAAAAATGACGAAGTCATCACTTATCCCGTGCAGTCGTACACCCATCTGGAATAACCCTGACATTCTACAAAACAATAATATGATAAACTTTCCGTACTGGAAGAATAAAGGTATTAACTATCTGGATCATTTATTTGAAGGAACGGAGTTTATCACATTTGCTAGATTAAATTTGCAATATGGCATTAACAAAAATAAATTCTTAGAATATGAGCAAATTAAAGCTATAATTAAAAATAAATTTAAGCATATTGATGGAGATTTAAAAATTCCAACTAATATATCAGAGTTTCTAGAGTTAACCCCCCCAAACTACTGTCTACATTATACAGGACACTGACTAAACTGGATGATACAATATCTCTTCCTATTATTAAATGGGAGGAGGATTTATCAGTCAGCTTTGAACAAAACATCTGGGCTCAGATATGTCTAAGAACTTTTAACATGACCAGAAACCCCAATTTACAATTAATACAATACAAAATCCTCCACAGAGTGCACTATACAGGTCAAAGATTATTCAAGATGGCTTTTGCACAATCTAACATCTGTCCACAGTGCACAGGCAATCAACTAGATAATTATTTTCACACGTTATGGTTATACACGCCGGTTCAGAGGTTCTAGGTACAGGTATGTAAGGATCTATCACTGTGCCTGGGTTGTAAAATCTCACTTTAAAAAAAATTAGTTTTCATGGCCTTCACTGCATTATGTGTCGCAAAGTAAAACTATCCTCATGAAATGGAAAAGTAAGGATAAACTCAGCATGAATCAGTACAGAGATCTGGTGTTGGATCATATTAATCTTGAGACAGCATCTGCATCCCCATCAGACCGATCTCTCTGGTCTCCCTTGATCGGCTCCATCACTTAGTGTAGTGGGGGGCTGTGGGGCGCGTCCTATGAGGAGCGGGGGCTGGTTTGGGGGTCCTGGAGGGCTCGGAGGGGCGCTTGGAGTGGGGTGCCTGGAGGGTCTAGCCCTGGGGTCTATTGCCCCCATCGGGGCGGGGCCTGGGGCGCCTCGGGGGGGTCCTACGGCGGCCGCATGCGGTGCTCTTGGGGGATTCCGTGGTGGAGGACGTAGGCTGCTAGCCTTGTAGCTGTGCTGTTGCTGGGTGGGTCCGGGGTGCATTGCCCTCGGGCGGGGGCCCCTGTGGGGCTTGGGGGTTCGGGTTCTGTGGGGAGTGCTGCTTGGGGTCTGGGCCGGTGTACGCCCGGCTGTCCAGCCCTACCGCGGCCTCTGGTGTGCTGGGGTGCCTCGGGGCCTGTTGTGCCTGGCTGGCTGGTGGGTACTGCTGCTGGTCCCTGGCCCCCGGGCTATGGTGATGAGACTGGTAGGGGCCCCCTCTCCGGAGGGGCTCTTGGGGAATGGGGGTGCCTATTGGAGTCAGCGGGGGAGCTGGCTCCCTGGGAGTGCAGTAAGCACCCCAGTCCTTTGCTCCCACTCCCCGAAATCCTCCCTCTGCCTGCTCCATCACACTGCCACACAGGTAGGTTTTTGGGGAGGGGGTCTTTACTGGAGGGCCCCACCTTCTGATGAGGTCCCCCATCCCAATTTTATTTTGCATTTTAGACACTTCCATCTACAACATTTTCCCAACACACATCTATGTAGGGAATTTTCTGGGGGTCAAGGAAGGTTGGAAGGAGGGGTGTGTAGTGGCTGGTTGAAGTAGTTTGGGGGGGCCCGGTCCCGGGGGGGGGGCTCTTGCTTGGGGTGGTCCGATCCGTGTGCGGGGTGGGGGGCCAGGCTCGAAGCAGGAATGAGATGGGTTGGTGTGGCAGTGTCGCCGGTCCCCTCCTCCCATCCGGATTTTAGGTTCACTTATTGGGTCATCCGATAATCAACCACCGGTGCCGCCGGGTCTTTGATCCTGGTATTAATGGATGTGAGTGTTATGAGTGAATGTATTCCCACAATCCATTGTGTGACAGGACATTTAGGCATAGCGTTCCTCATGGAATTAAACAAGGATTGCATTATTTCTTGACTTGTACTGGGTGACACATGCAGATGTATGCACCTGTATATATTACGGGTTTTATAATGCAGAGTTTTAGCCATTTGCTAAATTACTTTAGGAGATTCAGAGGGCAGCAGTCCCGGTTTGACTGACATTATCCATGTTGGTTTCTGTTGCGTAATGACGTCCCAAGGGTGACTCCTATCTGGATTCAGCACAGTAAACCAGAGTACCTTGCTTGCCCACAATACTGTTGTTGATCCAATGAAAGAAACAGGAGCAGTGATCAGAATCAATCCAACCATCTGCAGCCTCAACTGCTTCTTCAGGATCACAAATACTCTCACTGACTAAACATAGTTCTAGGAGAAAAGGAGACAGTAAAATGTTTTGTCTGACTCCTCCCACCACTACTGGGCTCAGCCAATGAGATGGTTTGTGTTTGCTGCACTAAAAGCAGCTTGATGTTGAGGAGAAGGTCTGTGCACCAGATAAGCTTCTTAGTCTTTGTTCTGCTGCAGTGGAACAACTTTGTTCCTCTGCTGTCTGACTCTACCTGAAAACATGTTACTTTACTTCTTGCTGCTTTTCTCTCTCTGCATAGGTGAGTGTTAGAGCACAGAGAAAAGCTTTGCTCTGATTTTCTGTAAGAATCTTATTGTGATCACATGAGGAAAACAGAGTGTAAGACCTCTGCTGAGTCTCTTCATGTTTGAATCTCCAGCAGACTAACTGTCATTAATGACTCATTTTACAGCCATGGGCTCCATGAACACCATCAATCAGGAACAGAGGGAACAAGCTGTTTCAGAGGAAAGAAGCACCAGTTTGAGCTGTGAATATTCTGGTTCTATCTACAATATCCAGTGGTACCGACAGCAGCAGAGATCCAGACCAGAGTTCCTGCTCTACATCACAGAGGCAGGACAGATTCATCCAACTGGTTCAGAGTTTTCTGTTCACATCAACAAAACAGCGAAACAATCGAAGCTGGTGATCTCCTCTGCAGCACTGTCAGACTCTGCTGTGTACTACTGTGCTGTGGCGCCCACAGTGACAGGAAACACCAGAACTCTGTACAAAAACCTGCAATAATTTAAAACCTCCACTAGAGGACCCCAAACATCCATTTGTAGGTCCATGAGGTGTACAGTAGCTTCTTCCCCTTAAGTCTGCTGTCACAGTGACCACACCAATCAGAATCCTAAAAACTATTTTGCTTTTTCTTCTGGAGTTTATTTGGATAATTTGCGCCCAAACATGTTCATCTCTGAGACAGAACCTGTTTCCTAATTGTTAATGTGAAGAACACTTTAATAACTAACTGCATGTTTGGTCCTTTCAGCAGCACAAAGGACGATGTATTTGGCCCCAAAAAGTTGAGTCCTCAGAGGGGTCCCTAATCTCAGCAGGTCATAAGCTTTCATAGAGATAATGACATCTGAATATCTAGGCCGAGCCAGAGGGACGTTCCCTTCCATAGGAGCAGCTCCCAAAATGCTGCCCGTTCCAGCTTAGTCTTCTCATTGGTCCACTTTAATTCTTCATCCAGTGATTTATGCCTGATATTTCACAGATGGGAGACCCAAAGTGTTTATCTTTTTTTTCCACACATCAACCAATGTGTCTTTTTTCATTAAGTGAATGCAGACATCTGTTTATAGATGTTCTTACAAAATGCTACCAGTGGTTATTTGTTATTTTCAATAATCATTAAAAACACAAACGTCACAAATGTTCCTGATTTCTGCCTCAGGAAGTGGAGTGGTCTGGGAGCTTGATCTACTGACAACAGATCTGTTATAGATTCAGGTGCTTATCTATTCACTGATTTCTAGACTAACACAAGGATTGTAAAGTCTATTCTCTGGTACAGGGAGCTAGTGGAAGGACTTCAGAACCGGGCTGATGTTTTCTAACTTCTTAGTTCTAGTGAGATCATGGGCAGCAGCGTTTTGGATCAGCTACAGGTGGCTGAAGATTTATGAAGACACTATTGCAGTAATCATTTCTACTAAAAATAAATGCATGAATTAGTTTTTCTACTTCCTGCTTGGACATTAGTCCTTTAATCCTGGAGATGTTCTTCAGGTGATAAAAGGCTTATACACCCCTTTCCCACTGCACATATTCTGCACATACATGGAATAAATTCACCTCTTGTGTTCAAAATAAAATCATTCAGCTCCAAGTCAAACACATTTCCTTTTAAAACTTCTAACTAAGACCAGTGAAACTCAACTAAACTAAACTAAACTAAACTAAACTACTATGCACAAAGAGGAAGCGAAGCATGGTTGAAAACCATATTAAAGTTTGATCTTTGGAAGAATTTGGGATATGATCAAATTAGCTTTTCACTAACTTAGAGAAAGTTTAATGTTTTCAGACCAATTCACAATGCCAATCCATGAGGTGAATAAAACATTATTTGGCCAAATAATGTTTTATTAAATGATTTGCTTAATCAGGAACCAATAACCTTTAGTTAATGATTCTTTACCTTCTTTGAAATAGCTAGCAGGGAATAGACATCAGGATTCCACTAAACGACTCTTTGTCATACTCGGTAATGGAAATGTAGTGAGCATTTGAGGAACACATGAACACTAATGTTATATCAGTGTTTAGACCCTTTAGTGAAATAAAGCTTCTCCAACCTTCAGCAACAGCTCAACACATATTCCTGTAGCATAGCGTAGCATGCAGTCCGTTCTGTTGACGTTGTCTTTACTTATCAGTAAACACATGTTGTTTGTTCTGTCCCTAATCATCCCAGACCAGCACACCTTTTGGTCTATGTCCATTTGGAAAGGTTGAGGTTAATCCAGCTGCATCTTAGCGGTCAGACCAGGCTCTCTTTTGTCTCAATGGCTCAGAACATGGGTCCTCTTTGTCTCAGGCTCCCAGCAGGGCAGGCTCCTCATTCAGTCTGGCCGTATAAGTTCTGAAACTCAAGAGAAATGTGTTGCAAAAGGCCTGATTTGCAGCAGTTTGGTTCTGAAAGGTTACCACAATAACTTATCCTTGAGGAGATCTGGGTTTTTCCGTTCCGGGAAGATCTCTATCCTGCTGGAGATAGACCCCAGCTTCATGGGCAAGGGAGAGAAGGCAAAGAGAAAAAATGTTGTATGCTCTGTGATTTTGTATGTCCTCACACAGAGGGGGGTGGTAGATCACACCTCTGTGGGCTACCATGTGACTTGCCTGTGGAGGCCTCTGCTAAAAAGCTGTTATTCACCAAAGCTGCATGTTCTCCTCTGGTCATCATGTCAAGATGAAATATGGAAACTGGTTCCCAATGTCCAAAAACCATGATCATGGCATATGGCACAACAGTCACTATATGGCCCATTTACTGATTTAATGTGTCATTTTTTTTTAAATGACAGAAGTTGAGAGGACTGCAGAAACTAGCAAACCTCCAAGGGCAATGGCCCCAAGTCCACACTTTCCTGTGCTCTTCTCAAGAATATACTTGTTGAGAACACAAGTCTGTACTCGCGTTCTTGTGAATTGAGAAACGGCCTGAGTTTATACGGGTGTCATTGAACACCTTAATCAGGGGAGTCTCTGTACTGTTGTTGGCACGGAAACCTTACTGGAAGACAGCAAAGCAACTTGTCTTTGTTAAGAAGACATTTAACTGTTGAAACACAACTTTTTTCAATAATCTTACCGATAAAGGGGATGTTTGGGATGCGCCTGTAAATCTGCAGGACCAATTTGTCCAAGCTTCTCTTTTTCAACAATGGTTGTATAATTGTTGTTTTTAAGGGAAAAACACCCAACATAAGGGATGTGTGCAAAAGCATTTAATCTCATTCACAGCATCATCAGTTACAATTAATGTACGTGGATTTGCAGCTGGTTTGTTATGACGCTGTTTGGTAGACAGCTGAAAGTTGTCATACCTTTTTCCGTTGTCTGGAAAAACACCATGGTCAGTTTCTCATAGGGCCAAAAATATGTTTTTTAGCAGAATCCCAATGTGTCTCAATAATCTTTGTGGGTCCTTCCTCATCTTTCATTTTGGGACAAACTGCTTTTTGCACCTATTGATACTCGGGGTGGAAGAAATGAACAAACGTGGCTACTACGGTCTGTCAATTTTACAGAAAGACTATTTTACTCCCAACCCACCATGCTTCTGTGATTAAATCTGAGACGAAGAAAAAAGATAATCTTTATTTGCTCATGCCCAGAGCAACAACAATATTTAAGTTTGAAAAACACCTTAAGTTTGATTTTTTTTTTTTTTCAAATTTTCCTGATTTTTAAATATTCTAAAATCAGAAAAACTGTTTTATGCAAACCAGTGGGGTTTTTAAAATTATTTTCAGTCTTTCTAAGCACGCAAAAACAGGACATTCTTGCCTCTTTTCTTAAATCTGCATTGACTGACAAATGCATAAATTCACAGATTCATTATTCAGTCAGCAGCCTTGTCTTGAGATCAAGTGAAACAAGCATGGCCACTCCATCCTATTTTTTGTCATGACTAAATTGTTGTATCTTTATATGTATTAAACATTATTTTTTTGTTTAAGTTGAGACTTAAACATTTGCTATGACTATTATCTTGTGGGTTTTTTTTGTATGTTTGTTTAATTGAGAGAGAAACTAAAAAAACTGGCAGGAAATGTCAGAGGTCAGGTTGACCGATGTCCCAATAATTGGTATTGCATTAACAAAACTGTATTGTTCAATCACTAGACTATATAGCACAAAAATGTCCAATAAATTTGTGATAAGTGATTTTCGTACAGGACTTCCCAGGAGCACAAGAGGCGGATGTAGATGAGATGTGGTAGATGCCAGAAAGGGGAGGACAGCATGCCGGGTGTGGTGGCTTGAACGGTGGGGTTTTATAGCGGAACAGGTTTGATAAAACCCAGATGGATCTGCTGATCTCCTCAGCTGCGGGGACAGACTCTGCCATGTACTAGTGTGCTATGCAGCCCACAGTGACAGGAAACCTGGCAATACTCCAAAACATCCTCTATGCCAGGGGTGCCCAACCTTTTTTAAACCAAGCTCTACTTTTGAAGTTGATGGCATGCCGAGATCTATCGAGCCAAACACAAGGGATGGGCAGTATTGGTTTTTTATTTGCACAGGTGGAGAATAAACAGTAAGTCCAACAAACGAGGAAATTATCAGTTGTGTCAAAAAAATAGATTGCAAAAACAGAACTTAACAATCTCATAAGAACTTCACACCATATCACTCACTCACTCACTCACTCACTCACTCACTCACTCACTCACTCACTCACTCACTCACTCACTCACTCACTCACTCACTCACTCACTCACTCACTCACTCACTCACTCACATCAGACACCAAAACTACAGAAAAGAGCAGTCAAGATCTCCAGACAAAGGCTGTGCAGTCAAAAAAAAATAAACCAACTGATACACACACTGTCCCCTGCAATATATTTTACTGGTTAAAAAGTGTGATTACGAATTGGGAAAAAAATCTAAATTCAATTTTTTTGACATAGAAAAAAATGTCGAGAGGAGCCAGTTGAGGTGCCTCAGGCATCTGTTTAGGATGCTTCTGGATGTCTCCCTGGTGAGGTATTCCGGGCACATCTCACTGAGAGAAGGCCCAGGGGGAAACCCGGGACACGCTGGAGGGACTATGTTTCTTAGCTGGCCTGGGAGCACCTTGGGAGGAGCTGGCCCAGGTGCCTGGGGAGAGGGACGTCTGGGCATCTCTACTGAAGCTGCTACCCCAAAGACCCGACCCCAGATAAGTACAAGAAGATGGATGGATGGATGGATGGATGGATGGATGGATGGATGGATGGATGGATGGATGGATGGATGGATGGATGGATGGATGGATGGATGGATGGATGGATGGATGGATGGCATTTCATAATCAGTTTACTACGAAACAAGTTCCTGCTTATAAAAATGGAATGAGTTTCTTTAGATCCATTATCTTCACATTCAATTCAGTTAATTCATTTATATAGTGCTGCTGGGCTCAAATGATCGTTATGTAACTGGAACCACTCCCCTCTGAAGACACACCCCTCCAACTGAGCTTTTAAAAGACAAACAACTTCCCATTCACTTTCTGTTGCTGGTTGCCCCTCGGTTGCTAATGGC